GTAGATGGACTTTTTCAGCTTGCACACCCTGCCCGTACCATCCTCATACCCAGGTGGCTGCGTCATGAACACCTCCTCCTCTAAAATCCCGTTGAGAAATGCCGTTGATATGTCCATCTGGATAATGAACTTCCCACCAACGGCTGCATCTGCCAACAAGACACGAAGGGTAGGGGGTTTGGCAGTGGGAGCAAAGATCTCATTGAAGTCCCGCTTCTCCTTCTGCATAAACCCCTTAGCCACCAACCTACTCTTGTAGATGGTGACCTGCCCCTTGTCGTCAGTCTTGATCCTTAGCACCCACTTGCATTGTACCGCTTTCTTTCCCTCAGGCAGCACCACTAGTTCCCAAGTCCCATTCTCCAGCAGGCTCTGGTACTCAGCATCCCTGGAAGCTAGCCATTTGTCCCTATCTGGTCCAGCTAATGCCTCCTCCATGCTAGCTGGTTCCTCTGGTGCAGGGGCAAGAAAACAGTATGCAGGTTGATCCTCCTCATCCGGGTCATAGCCATGCGGTAGAATCAGCAATGCCTCCTCGGTCCCAAGCTGCTGCTCCGCTACATCAGCTCCTGCAGTCAGCTTCTTAGTAGCCATACGGGTACGTCCTGGCCTGGAGACAGGTGTCTCCCATCCCTTCATAATAACACCCTTCGGCTTCTTAGTTTTCCCCTGCTGCTGCTCTCCTCCCTCGGATCCAGCAGCTCCACTAGTGCTACCGCTAATCTCCACACCATCACCTCCACCAGCAGGTGCCTCCTGCACCTTCTCTTTATCACCACCCTCTGCAGCTGCCTCCTCTCCCTCCTCCCACACACTAGGAGTCAGGTCCAGCTGCATGGTAATCTGCTCCATCTGCTGGGACACCCTGGCCTCCGGCTGTTTCTCCCAGCTCCCATACATCATGCCCTCAACAAACTTCACATCCCTGCTGTCAAACAACACACCCTTGGAAGGCTCCCACAGCAGCCATCCCTTGCTCTCAGCAGCCAGCCCCAAATGCACACACCAGATTGCACTCGCCCCCAACTTACTGCGGTAGGTCTTGGGAACGTGGGCGACTGCCATGCAACCGAACACCCTCAGCATGTCCACCGGCGGCTTCCTCCCAAGCCACCTCTCCAACGGCACCCACGAGTCATCCCCAACCTTTGTGAGTACCCTGTTCCTAGCGACGGTAGCGTGCCGAACAGCATGGGGCCACATGGAGTTGCCCAGCCCAGATTCTATGAGCAGCGCCCTAGCTGTCTCCAGAATTGTCCGGTTCGCCCGTTCTGCTACACCGTTAGACTGTGGGGTGTAAGCCGTGGTCAGCTCCCTCTGGATGCCCTGCTTCTTGAGCCAGGCCGTCATCTCAGCTCCAAGGAACTCACCACCCCGATCTGTCCTAATCCGCTTCACCACACACTCCGCTTGCTTCTCCACGAACGGCAGCCAATCGTCCCGAATCGTGGAGGCGGCGTGATCTTTCCGCTTCAGCGGATACGCCCACATTAGCCTGCTCCAGTCATCCACTATGGTTAGGAAGTACCGCTCCCCCTTGTGCCCTTGCACCGGCAGCGGCCCCACCAAGTCCATGTGGACCAGCTCCAACGGCTTTTTGCTCCTGCCAGCCACACTATGGAAGGGGAAACGGGTGAACTTTGAAAGGAGGCAAATTTCACAGTTATCATCGGGTGGTTGTCCGTTCAGCTTTAAGCCCTTAACGGCTCCATCCTTCTCCAGCTGCTTCAGCAAAGGCATTGCCACATGCCCCAAACGTCGGTGTGCAGTTGCCCAATCTGTCTCCCCAGATCTGGCCGACACTTTCACACCAACCCCTCCAACGGCGTTGCACTCCCCCTGGGATGCAGACCCCTCTCTAGCCTGCCCCCCACCGTGCCACGCCAGCGCCGGCAGCTGCCACATAGATCTGTACACGTCCTTGCTCTCGTGCAGATCCCAAAGCACCCGATTGCCCAGCTTCCCCTTATAAGTGCGAGCCCCATCCGTGTTGGTGTTCACCCCAGCCTTGCCAAGCTTACGGAGGGAGATGAGGTTGGCCTTCAGGTCGGGGACGAGGAGAACGTCGTGCAGCACCACCGGCTTGCCATCCGCTCCCTTAAATGCAGCTCGTCCCGCACCAGCCACCTTCAACATGTGTCCAGAGGCAGAGCACACCTCATTAATCGGTGCAGCGCGTACGTTGTCCAGCAGGTCCTTGCGCGGCGTCATTGTCCAAGCAGCGCCTGTGTCCAACACCCAATAGTCCAGGGGGTGCAGCTCTGCTCCAGCCTTAGCAGATGCGTCTCCTTGCTCCCCCTTGTCTCCCATATGGAAGAATTGGCCTGCGGTGCGCTCCTTCTTCTTCTCCGCACCGCCGTTGCCCTTCGGGTTGTTGTCGGACGAATCAGCGACCATGTTGGCGCCGTTTTTCTGGTTCCTCCGCGCGCCGCCATCCTGGTGACGATTCTGGGGGGTCCATCCATCGGGTTTCTTATAGCACAAAAACCAGGGGTGCCCTTCCTTCTCACAATACCAGCAACTCCCTTTCATTTTGCCACCAGCACCCGACTTGCCCCCACGTCCAGATTTCGCACCGCGACCCCAACCGGTACCTCCTTGTTGGTCGTTGGAGTCGTCGTCTTTCTTTGCACCGCGTCCAGCACCACCGAAGCCACGTCCTTTGCCACGTCGGCTCCCTTGCATCCCGTAGCCGCTGCTGCCGTCGTCTCCACCCCTCAGTTGGCGGCGACGGAAGTCCTCCTCCAGAATCTTCGTCCGCACCCACTCGAGCGTCCACAAGCTCTGGTTCTGCGGCAGGCTCAATCCGCTCGTAAATTGAAGCCACGATTCCGGCAGCAGCGAGAGCATCTTCAAGCACTTTGTTTGCTCCGGGTAGGTGATTCCTGCGGTCGCCAACTTCGCGTAGAGGTCGCGCAATTTGTCCAGGACAGGTTGCACCGGCTCTCCCTCGCTCAGGCGCAACGCGGACAGCTCCCTCTCCAGCATCAATGTTGCAACAACGGAGGTCGGGGCGTGCAGCTCCTTCAACACCGTCCACGCCTTCGGACCGCACTCAACCTCCGGCAGCAGGTGCATGACGTGGTGACGCTGGTTCAGCTCCAAACTCTGCGACATCAAGTAGTAGCCAGCCGAGGCGCGCTCGTCCCAATCTTCCTGAAGGGCGGGGTCACTCGGTCTAGGCTCCTCCCCAATCATTAGTTTCAGCAATCCGATTTGACGGAAATAAAGTTGCATTTTCCAGGCCCAATCATCATAGCCCTCACCATTGAACTTCTCGACGGTGAAGTTTTTCAGCACCTCCTTGATCAGCGAGCCCTGGTTTGTTCGCGCTCCCCTTGGCGCAGAAACACCAGAATCATGGCTGCCGCTACGATCTTGGGCTGAAGATTCACCAGCTACCGCCGAGGTGTTGCCCGCCATAGCTACCTATATCGAGGATCACTATAACGCAGCTCTGATACCAGCTTGTTGGTGTAAGGGCCTAATAAACTCAAGCTATTAAGACTTTATCACACTTAAAACCTCTCCTCAGGGTCACCTCCAAGGGTCCTTGGGTGCCTGGTACAAGACCAGCCCCTATCCTCGGGTCCGAGTTTGTAGAGAGAGGGATCAAGAGGGACTTAGTCAAAACAGCAAGAGTACCTTGAGCGTCGCGCAGCGTATCGTGCAGACCGTCGACCGGATTAAGCTGAGAATTTCCTATATCGAAGCTCACTCTAAGAGCTTTAAAATAAGCCAAGTTGCCTCGCGAAAAGTTCTGCCATTACGAAGTTATGGCTCGGACAGCGTTAGCCTAGCGTTGGAGTGCTAGCGTACTAGCGTTGACTCGGGTAGCATTTCGCCGTCGCACCGCGTAGAAAAGAAATTCCAGCAAGGAAGGAATTCGCTTGAATCAATTTCACTATATTCAGGTACAAACAGAGAAGGAATAAATAGCTCTAGCTAGCAAGGACCTTGGGAATCAACCTGGGAACAACCAGGGATGATCCCAAATAATTCCAAGCAACAGAACCAACCTGGCTGAACAAAATAGCAGGTGATAGGTTGGTGAACAACCTCTGGTTCTGTTTTTCCAACCTGGGAAAACAACAACCAGGTTCAGGTCCTAAAAACAGAACCTGTTTTGTCTTTGCCCAACCAGCCAAATGCTGGTTCCGCTGGTTTCCCCTGGCCCTGTAGCATGCAGATACAGACAAACAACATCCAACCTTCACCTAAATTGTACCCCTATAGTGCCTGCCCTGCTACACTATAGTCAACCAAACAAAACAGTACAATTTCGAGTTGGATAGAACTGAATCTGCGCAATCAAGTAAGTTGAACCGCAAAGCTTCCATCTTGGGTTCCTTTGCGAGCTCGTCCTTTCTGCTTGTACTGTTCATAGCGCGTACAATGTTATGCCGAAGCGCACATTTTGCGAGTACCTGCAAATGCTTCAAGCGAAAATTGCGAAAGCAAACAAACACACAAACATACCATTCACACGCAAATGCATTCGCACACGCATACTCGTACAAACAGACGGCAGGATGTCGTGCAATGTGAATTTGCACCCAACAGGATCAAGGTAGGGGGGCCTGCTCGGCCCTTTTCTTTTCGCGTTCACGCAGCAGCAGGCGATGGAGCCGGTTACTAGGGAGTTCGGGGACCTGCTATGCAGACGACACCTATATTTTGGGGCCAGCGGCTAGGATTCTGGAGGCTTTTGGGGTGCTGCGGGAGCGGTTGGTGTGGGTGGGGCTGGAGGTGCAGGCGCACAAGTGCCGGTTTTGGGAGCGCGAGGGCAGGGAGGTGGAGTGGGAACTGCCATTGGGGATGCAGCGGGTGGATGAGGGTCTTACGTGGGCGTGGGCGTGCCTATTGGGGAGGAGGTCTGGGAGGTGGTCCGGCTACGGGAGCGGCTTCGACAGTTGCAGGTGCCACTGTCATGGCTCCCCTTGCTCGACCACCCCTAGATGGCTTCACACCTCCTCGCCATTGCAGTTTCAGCACGGCCGATGTACCTCGCCCGGACTATGCCGCCGCGTTTGGAGGTGGTTGAGGCTTTTAGGGATTGGGATAGCTGTTTAGAGGATTGCTTTAAGCAGCTCTTCCCACCTGGCACTTGGGAGCAGGACCCTGACCGGTCTAGGCACACAGGCATGCAGCTGCATCTCCCTGTGCGACTTAGAGGGTTCGGGATCCGGGCGGCGGCCTCTTTGAGCCCACTGTCCTATGTTTGTGGGTGGGCGCAGACTGCCCGTGACATTGCACAGTTAGGGGTGGCGGGCAAGGAGGCGATGTTTGCAGAGTATCTCACCACTTCGACGGGGGCATAGTTTCTTGACCCGTGGTTTGCCAAGGCTCTTGAGCAGCTGCCATCGACTATCCGCCAGGAGATACCGGGCTTACCTCTGTGTGTAGCGGCCCCTCCTGTTCGGCTTTTCCAGGTGCGGCACCAGCAGTTAGTTGTAGATGAGCTCCAGGCACTATGCTGTTTGGCTCGTGACGATGCTACCTTGGCCCGTTTCACATCCCTTCAGGGCCCGGGGGCGGGTTCATGGGTTTCGGCAGTTCTGCCTCACTCAGATCTCACATTCACTGCGGCCGAGTGAGGGCATTGCTGCTGCTATATGGCTCGGGCTCCCAATTCAGCAGCTGCAGGTGGCGGGGAGGTGTGTTTGTGGAACAGCGTATGTTGACCCAGCAGACCCGCATCATGCCCTGAGATGCAAGCACCAGCATGGTCCATCTCGGGTGCATGATGAGGTGAAGTTTGCGGTGGCGAATATCTCTAAGGCGTCGGGGGGGGTGGAGACAATGGAGGATAGTGTGGTGCTGCAGGGAAAGCGGGTTGATGTGGCGGTGCGACGACCAATGGCTGGAGAGGCTCACGCCCTAGAGATCAGCATCGCAGACCCTCTATCCCTGTCTCCATCTCTGCTAGGACAATGCGGGCGCCAAATAGGTGTGGCGGCAAGAGAGTGGGAGCGTCGCAAAACGAGTGATTACGCGCCTCTGCTTGCACGCAACCGGGGCGTGCAGTTCACCCCTCTGATAGATAAGACGTGGGGGTGTCTCGGCGGTCGTTTTCGGCAGTGGCTTCGTCAGCAGGGGGATGCGCACGTGGGGCTAGCTGTGTCGCGGAGGGCTTGTCGGGAGGACGACTCTGTGTTTTCGGCTTATCTTTTAGGGTCACTGAAGGCGCTCATCGGGGTGGCGTTACAGCGTGCGCAAGCCCGTGTCATCCTGCTTCGAGCGGCGTCTTCCATGGGGGGGATTAACGTAGACTTGGTGGACCGGGAGTGTGGGATGGGATGTCTTGATGGGGTGACTTGACTGGGCGTTTTGATTGGGTATCTTGAGGGGGGGTTTTAGAGCGTGTTCCTAACCTCATATCAAGATAACCTCGTATCAGGCTCACACTGAAAACTCCCCTAAAACCTCTCGCTAGTTTTACCAGGCAAAAACAGCATTCTTGATACGAGGTTTCCGGATATGAGGCCGTAGCAACACGCTCTTATGTGTGTTGCATTTGGGTTCTTTTTGGCAGTTTCACTTTCCGTCTCTTTTTCTTTCTTCATTTCCTTTCTCCTTCATTTATGTCTTTTTTCTGTAAGGAAATTTCCTTTTCCTTACTTCGCGTCCACGCTCAGCACGTACACCATTGTAGCACCACAGTCAGCACTGTTACCACTCGCAAACCCTCGCATCGACAATCCTCCCGCCACTTTCGCACGTCGCACCCCGACCTCACGGCTCGGCGGGTAACCCGCGCTCTGGGCCTCCGCTTTGACATTTTCCCAAACCTCAGTCCCAGGCCCGTCGCGCGACAACCACAGTCCATTACCGTTACCACTGTAGTTTCGCTATATATTCTTCGCTCATGACTTCTCTCATTATACTCTTGCTTTGATAGTGCAATTCTCGCTCGCTCAGTCAATTGCACTCGTAACACTTGGTATTCAGAGCCTAGGATCTCTTCTCGGACCGCACGCATACCTTCGCTTCCTCACTATCTCAAATTTTTGGAGGGGGTAGACGTCTCTCAGCGACACAGCACCGCCGCTCGTAGTGCTCTCTCGTAAGCACGCACGGCCACGACAGAGGCTCTCACTGAGCTTGCCCGACACCCCCGCCATGGCCGAATTCACGCTCGCAACGTTGACGCTCGGAACTTGACCGTCTGGTGCGCCAACTTGAAGAATCGGCGCTCGAAATTGCAACGCTCACGGCGGAACGTGACTCCGCGCGTCAGCAATCCACAGTGAATACTCCAGCGCCACCACACGAACCGACAAATGCATCTGCACAATCGGACGAGCCGATCGTCATTTCGTCCGGCACACCAACACAACAAGACAGCGTGGGACATCGCTCAGGTGCAGCCAGTAATGGCGCCGCTCAACCGATGCCTGGCATGGGGGGAAACAGGGTCGCACCAAGCCCGCGGGAGTCTTGTGAAGCCCGTCGGCACGTGGAGTTCGCGGCGACAAGTGGCGAACAGGCCATTATGGCACCAATGTCACTCAAGCCGCAACGCCCGCCGTGCTTCGACCCGAGCCAGCGTGGAGGTCCGACGGTTCAATCGTGGCTCTTCACGATGAACGTCTTCTTCGACGCGAACTACGTCGAGTCGGACGCAGCGAAGATCCGATATGCCATCTCGCTGCTGAGGGGCCCCGCCATGGACTGGTGGCAAGTCATCGTGACATCGCCACACGCCTACAAGCCACCGACGCAAGAGGAAGGGCCCACGGGTCCAGCTGTCACTTGGAGTTCATTCTGCAAAACTGCCCAATACAGCACGTGGGATGCGTGGTGCGCAGGGCTTCGGGCGCGCTTCGAGCCGATCGCAGCTTCTATTTCGGCGCGTCAGAGACTGCGTACTTGGCGGCAGCTCGGGCCGGTTAAAGACTACACGAGTGGTTTTCTCGCATTATGCGAGCAAGTCGGCTACATGCACGAAGCGGAGCGGGTGGACCGTTACGTCGGAGGGCTGAAGCCGGACATCTCGCACGAGATCATGCTACGCGGGCTCTCGAACTTCAACGAGATTCTCGCGCTCGCCGAGAAAATCGACATTTTGCGTCGTTCGAAACCGGGGTCCTACTACGGACATCGTCATCGAGGACCGATCGAACACGCCACCGTACATGCCGTTGCGACGAATGCAGCTGCCGCGCCGTTTAAGGGGCGCTGTTTTGCTTGCAATAGGCCGGGCCATCGCAAGAGTGAATGCCCAGAGGAGTTGAGGCGCCGCGGAGCAGAGCAGGGGAAGGAGTCTCCAAGGCAGGGAAACGCCAGGAGTCAGAAGGAATCGGGCCAACTACTGACGCGACTGCCTGCTCGCCCAACCCCACCGACCCTCACCGAGTCACAGTACCGATTCATGCTATCGATCGGGCTCGGACGAATAAGGAGGGTACAGCGACGGATTGCCCAGTACTGATCCACGGAAAAATACAGGGAGCAGGAGTGAAATTTTTTATCGACGGAGGAGCAAGTCACAGTTTAGTTAATACCGCAACCGCACGCAAACTGCAACTGACACTTAGCCGTTGTTTACCTGAGATAGATGCACGCTTAGTTGACAGCACGCCACTGGCCATAAGAGAAAAGGTGGAGAGATTCAAAGTCCGCTGCGGGGGAAATTTCAGATTTACACAGGAAATGCTCGCGACGACACTCGATGGGCACGACATTTTACTGGGACGTGATTGGCTGCGACGGTATTACCCGCGAATTGACTGGACGACGGGTAGCTGTACTGTGTGAAGTAGCGGTAACTGGGTTGAGCTACCTCACTGGCAGTCGCCCGATTCTTCAACGGTACACGTCAACGCCGTCACCATGAAACGAGCTGTCGCTGCTGGAGCTGACGTGTACGCAATAGACATTCAGTGGTAAAGGGAACAAAGCAGCCGAGTGATTTCAAGAAACTGCTGGCAGCAGTACCGCCCAAACTACAGGAACTGTTGAAACGATACCCCCGGATTTTTCCCGACGACTTACCGAAAGGACTGCCACCTTAGCGAGCACATGACCACTGAATAGAATTAGAACCGGGTGTCAGAACTAGCAGTCAGAAACAAGAATGAGAAACAAGGGGTTGCACTAGCAAGCAGTTGAGTACATATAGGAAACCCTAAATTGGGCTGTACTCACTATAGAGTACCCCACTGCAGGCTAGACAAATATAACATTCTGACACACCCCCATAGCCAAAGCGGGGTGTAATCAGCACAACAAGCACAGCTAGAGGCATTCACATCGGGCACGTGAGGAGGAGGAGGCTGGACTGTGAGAGGAGAGGAGATGGGAGGCAACGGCTGAAGCTGCAGACACACGGGCAACAGGAGCAGCTGGCACAGTGGCTACCGGGACAGCGCCCCGAACTACAGGGAGTAACTGGCTCTGCACGGCAGAAGCAACGGACCCACGGGCGACCGGCGCAGCAGGCTCTCTGGGCTACCAGGAGCAAGGCAGGCTCCAGACTACTGGCGCTGCAGGCGACACGACGGCAGCCTCCACGCAACCTCCCCCAACTGTCCGACACCCCTTTTTCACACACCCCTTTTTCCCACACCCCTTGCTGTACCCCTAGCTCCACTTCCACGTCACCCCCCTAGCACCACTCCTTCGGCTCCCACAAACCCACCCCCCTCAGCGGCAGCTGCAGCAGTGGGAGACGGAGGAGAAGGAGGAGCAGGGGACGGCTCACACACCCGCCACCCCCATACCCGTCACCCCCATACCCTGAGTGTGTAGAAAGCGAGCTCGGGTGTGCAGAAAGCGAACTCAGGTGTGCGGGGGGGGGGGGGGGGGGGCGCAACGCGACACGCGGGTCGACGGGGACGGGCGCACGGGTCCCCGGAAGCGGCGCTCGGGTCGACGGGGCCGCCACGAAAGGCGACGGGGAGCCGCGCGCGGGTTGACGGGGCCGCCGCGAAGGGCAACGGGGAGCCGCGCGCAGGTCGACGGGGACGGGCGCACAAGTCGACGGGGGGCGCCACGTGTTGGATGCAAATTCACATTACACTACATCCTGCCGTCTGTTTGTACGAGTATGCGTGTGCGAATGCATTTGGGTATGAATGGAATGTTCGTGTGTTTGTTTGCTTTCGCAGTTTTCGCTTGATGCATTTGCAGGTTCTCGTGCAATGTGCGCTTCGGCACAACATTGTACGCGCTATGAACAGTACAAGCAGAAAGGACGAGCTCGCAAAGGAACCCAAGATGGAAGCTTTGCGGTTTGGCTTACTTGATTGCGCAGAATCACTTCTATCCAACTCGAAATTGTACTGTTTTGTTTGGTTGACTATAGTGTAGCAGGGCAGGCACTATAGAGGTACAATTTAGGTGAAGGTTGGATGTTGTTTGTCTGTATCTGCTTACTACAGGGCCAGGGGAAACCAGCGGAACCAGCATTTGGCTGGTTGGGCAAAGACAAAACAGGTTCTGGTTTTAGGACCTGAACCTGGTTGTTGTTTTCCCAGGTTGGAAAAACAGAACCAGAGGTTGTTTACCAACCTACCACCTGCTGTTTTGTCCAGCCAGGTTGGTTCTGTTGCTTGGAGTTATTTGGGATCATCCCTGGTTGTTCCCAGGTTGATTCCCAAGGTCCTTGCTAGCTAGAGCTATTTATTCCTCCTCTGTTTGTACCTGAATATAGTGAAATTGATTCAAGCGAATTCCTTCCTTGCTGGAATTTCCTTTCTACGCGGTGCGACAGCGGAATGCTACCCGAGTCAACGCTAGTACGCTAGCACTCTAACGCTAGGCAAACGCTGTCCGAGCCATAACTTCGTAATGGCAGAACTTTTCGCGAGGCAACTTGGTTCATTTTAAAGCTCTTGGAGGGAGCTTCGATATATGAAATTCTCAGCTTAATCCGATCGACAGTCTGCATGATACGCTGCGCGACGTTCAAGGTACTCTTGCTGTTTTGACTAAGTCCCTCTTGATCCCTCTCTCTACAAACTCGGACCCGAGGATAGGGGCTGGTCTTGTACCAGGCACCCAAGGACCCTTGGAGGTGACCCGGAGGAGAGGTTTTAAGTTTGATAAAGTCATAATAGCTTGAGTTTATTAGGCCCTTACACTAACAAGCTGGTATCAGAGCTACGTTATAGTGATCCTCGTTATAGATAGCTATGGCGGGCAACACCTCGGCGGTAGCTGGTGAATCTTCAGCCCAAGATCGTAGCGGCAGCCATGATTCTGGTGTTTCAGCGCCAAGGGGAGCGCGAACAAACCAGGGCTCGCTGGTCAAGGAGGTGCTGAAGAACTTCACCGTCGAGAAGTTCAATGGTGAGGGCTATGATGATTGGGCCTGG